CTCCGCCTCCTCCGCATCCTCTCCCAGCCCCTCCTCCCCATCCTCTCAGCCCTCCTTCTCCTCCATCCTCCTCTCCAGCCCTCCTCTCCCATCCTCCTCCCAGCCCCTCCTCTCCATCCCTCCTCCCAGCCCTCCTCTCCATCCTCCTCCTCCCATCCTCCCCCTCTCAGCCTCCTCCCACTCCCCCTCCCAGCCTCTCCCATCTCTACCTCGAAGCCCTCCTCTCCATCCTCCCCCTCCCAGCCCTCCTCTCCATCCTCCCCTCCCAGCCACTCTTCATCCATCTCCCCCTCCACCAGCCCTCTCTCCATCCTCCCCCTCCCAGCCCTCCTCTCCATCCTCCTCCCAGCCCTCCTCCCCATCCTCCCCCTCCCAGCCCTCCTCCCCATCCTCCCCCTCCCAGCCTCCTCCATCTCCTCTCCCAGCCCTCCTCCCATCCTCCTCCTCCCAGCCTCCTCATCCTCCTCCTCCCAGCCCTCCTCCCCATGGAGGGCTGGGAGGAGGAGGATGGAGAGGAGGGCTGGGAGGGGGAGGATGGAGTAGAGGGCTGGGAGGAGGAGGATGGAGAGGAGGGCTGGGAGGAGGAGGAGGATGGGGAGGAGAGCCTGGGAGGAGGAACAGGGGAGGAGGAGGAAAGGGAGGAGGGCCCTGGGGAAAAGGAGGTTTGGGGAGGAGGCCTTGGGAGGTGAGGAGCCCCCTCCCCCAGCTGTGGTGGGAGCCCTTGGCCGGCTGTACCCCTAATCTTGGTGGTGGCCCCAGCACACCCTGGTCTCTGTCTGTCTCCTGTGCTCGGGCAGGGCGAGTTTGGGGCCTGCAGGGAGGCCCTGTCCAGACCTCGCCTCGCTGCACGGTGCGGCTTCCCATCGACACAGGTCCAACGGTGGCCCCTGCCGTCCTGCCTGAGCCTGGGTGGGCTGGGGGTCGTGGCCTACACAACTCCCCTCCTGCTCCCGGGCCGGCCACGGCACACCAGGACCGGTCCCTTTCCGGCTCATGCTCCCACCTGAAGCCCCTCTTGGGGGTCGCACGCCCCGCCTAGGCTCCTTCCAGACTCTGCTGTGCCTCTCCTGCCACCTCGTGTGCCGTCTGTGTTCCTCGGAGCGGCGGGCGGGCCACAGGGCCACGCGGAGAAAAAACCACAAGGCGGTGCAGGTGCCAGGGTCGGAGGGTGCGTGCAGAGGAAGGGACCACCTCGCCATGATGGGCGCAGCAGCTCTTCCCTCGTCAGGTTGGGGACAGGGCCTGGCGCCTGAGAGCAGCTGGGGCCTGAGGGACAGGCCCTGCCTGGGGACACAAAGGGGCGCTGGGGGGACAGGCTGCTGGGGACAGGCCTGGCCTGGGGGACAGCCTGCTGGGACAGCTGCGTGGGGACAGGCTGCGTGGGGAGCACCCTGGGGCTGGGGGGAACGGTTCTGGGAACAGCGGGCTGGGGCAGGCTGTGGGGACAGGGTCTGGGGACAGTGGAGCTGGGGACCAGGCGGTGGGGAGCCAGGGCTGGGTGGGGACAAGACCTGCTGCTGGGGGAACAGTGCTGGGCTGGGGACAAGGTGGCTGGGGATAGGCTGGGCTGGGGACAAGGCTGGGCTGGGGACACGGCTGAGGCCTGGGACAGGCTGGCGCTGGGACAAGCTGCTGGGGACAGGCTGGGCTGGGGACAGGCTGGGCTGGGGACAGGCTGGGCTGGGGACAGGCTGCTGGGGACAGGCTGGGCTGGGGGACCAGGCTGCTTGGACAAGGCTGCTGGGGACAGGCTGCCTGGGGACAGCGCTGGCGCTGGGGACAGACTGAGCTGGGGACAGGCTGGGGCTGGGACAGCCTTGGGCCTGGAGCGAAGGCTGCTGGGACAGGCTTGCTGGGGACAGGCTTGGGCTGGGGACAGGCTGGGCTGGGACAGGCTGCTGGGGACAGGCTGGGCTGGGGACAGGCTGCTGGGGACAGGCTGCTGGGGACAGGCTGCTGGGGACAGGCTGGGCTGGGGACAGGCTGACTGGGGAACAAGGCTGCTGGGGAACAGGCTGGGGCTGGGGACAGCGGCTGCTGGGAGCGAGCGGAACAGGCCGGGCTGGGGACAGGCTGTCTGGGGACAGACTCGGGCCTGAGGACAGGCGTGCTGGGGCACAGGCTGCTGGTGGACAGGCTGCTGGGGCAGACTAGGGCCTGAGGACAGGTGCTGCTCGGGGACATGGCTGCGCTGGGACAGGCTGGGCTGGGGACATGGCTGCCGGGGACGAGCTTGCTGGGGACAGGCTGGGCCTGGGGACAGGGCTGCTTGGGGGAGACAGGCTGCTTGGGGACAGGGCCTGCTGGGGACAGACCTGGGTGGAGGACAGGCCTGGGCTGGGGACAGGCCTGCTGGGGAAACAGGGCTGCCTGGGGGGCAGGCTTGGGCCTGTGGAGCAGGCTGGGCTGGGGACACGGGCTGCTGGGGACAGGCTGGTGCAGACCCAGGCTTGCTGGGGAGCACGGCCTGCTGGGGACAGGCTTGCTGGGGAGGCTGGCTGGGGACAGGCTGCTGGGGACAGGCTGGGCTGGGGACAGGCTGCTGGGGACACGGCTGGGCTGGGGGACAGGCTGGCTGGGGCAGGCTGCTGGGGGACAAGGAGCTGGGTCTGCGTGACAGGCTGGCTGGGGACAGGCTGGGCTGGGGACAGGCTGCTGGGGGACAGGCTGGGCTGGGGACAGGCTGCTGAGGACAAGGCTGGGTGAGGACAGGTCTTGCTGGGGATCAGGCTGCTGGGGACAGGCTGGGGCTGGGGACAGGCTGCGCTGGGGACAGGCTGGGCTGGGGACAGGCTTTGCCTGGGACAGGGGCCTGGCTGGGGACAGGGCCCTGGGCTGGGGACAGGCGTGCTGGGACAGGGCCTTCTGGGTGCAGGCTTTGGGCTGGGGGACAGGCCTGCCTGTGGACAGCTGGGCTTTGGGGACAGGGCTGCTTCGGGGACAAGGCTGGGGCATGAGGACAGCTTGCTGGGACAGGCTGCTGGGGACAGGCTGGGCTGGGGACAGGCTGGGCTGGGGACAGGCTGCTGGGGACAGGCTGGGCGCTTGGGGGACCAGCGCTTGCCTGGGAACCGGCGCGACCCTGGGGACGGCTGCTGGGGGACACGGCCTGCTGGGGGAACAGGCTGGGCTGCAGGACAGGGTGCCCCCTGGGGGGACAGGCTTTGCTGCCGGACAAGCGCTGGGGCGGGACAGGCTGCTGCGGACAGGCCGGCCTTCCGAGCGACGAGGCCTGGCGGGTGGGGGCTGCTGGTGCGGGCTCTCTGCACGCCGTCCGGCCGCAGCTGGGTGAGGCGCAGCGGGCCCGGCTTTGAGGGTGCAGCGGCGCAGGCCTCCTCCCAGGGCCCTGGCTGGGCCTGAGGGCCGGCGGGGGCTCAGGCCTCTGCGCCGGGTGGGGGCGCTGCAGCTGCTTGGGCTGGGGAGCGGGTGGCCTGAATGGAACCATTCTTCCTGGGTGACAGCGGCGACTGGCCACCGTAGCTGAATCCAATCCAGGTGAGGGTGCAGGCGGAGCCAGGCTGTGGCGGAGAGAAGTCGCCGGCTGGGCAGGACTGCGGACAGCCAGCGCTCCCACCGGGCCTGCAGGGCCCTGTCCCTGGACGCCTGGGTCTCCTCCCTTGGTCCCGGGTCCCGGCCGTGTGGCCAGGCGGACACTCTGGGCGACCTGCGTCGTGCGCTAGTGTGTGTGCACGTGTCTGTGAGGTTGGGTTTGTGTGTCTTGTGTCTGCATATGTGTGTGTGTGTGTGCCTGTGTGCACAGGGCTGTGCTCATGCATCTGTCTGCATGTGTGTGCATGCGTGTGTGGCTGTGTCTGTGTGTCTTGCATCTGCATATGTGTGCATGTGTGCACAGGGCCGTGCTCATACATCCGTCTGCATGTGTGTGCATGTGTGTTTGGCTGTGTCTGGGTGTCCTGTGTCTGCATATGTGTGCGTGTGTGCGTTTGTGGGTAAGGCTGTGCTCATGCATCTGTCTGCATGTGTGTGCATGCATGTGTGTGTCTGTGTCTGTGCTATGCATGTATCCCTGCATGTGTGTGTGTGTGGCTGGGTCCACACTTGGGTGTCCATGTATGTGCATGAATGTCCATGTTTCCCTGCATTCCAGTATGTGCATGCATGTGTGCGTGTGCGTGTAGCGCATGTCTGTGTGTGTGCGTGCACAAGCACCATGGGGACGTGGTGCTGGGCCGCAGCTCGTCTCCTT